GGGCGAAGAGGAGGGGCCGTGTCACCGCACGCCGGGGCTCAGCTGCGTCCTGCCTGGCACGGGGCTGCTCCTGGCTGAGGGATGTGGCAGGGGTGGCGGGAGCAGGGCTGACAGCCCCACACATCACAGAGCCCCCAGTGCCTTCCCAGACCCCCACAGCCCCGGTGTGGCACAGGGAAACTGGCCAGAAATCCATTCCAGATACAGCAGGTTCCTCCTTCTAGCCCTTACAGTCACCCCCAACACTAAACCCATGGTATATGGCAGGTGGATTAAATTCAAATGCCCTGAAACACCTGCCTGGGCTTCAGAGAATGACCAAACCCCAGGGGCAGTCATGACCCAATGGATGGATTAGGCACACACACCAGGATTTTAAAGCTTTAAATGAAAGCATGAAGAAGGCCAAAATGAAGGGAAAAGTAGCTTGAAATATAAACTAGTAAGGAAAAAACCACCCTTTATTTTTCCTAGTAGCATCAAGTATTGAAGATGAAAAAAGTCCTGGTGAGGAAAAGCCTGGAGCAGCTGTGATTTCACAAGCAGGAGCCGAGATCAACTCCAGATGCAGCCTTAACACCCACAGCCCTCACGCACCATCCCCTCTGCCCCCCAGCAACCCCACGGCGGTGCCCAGGAGGGGTGCAGGGACAAGAGCAGAGCCCCCCAAGGGGCCAAGCTCAGCAGGGGACACAGACGCCTCGTCCTGACCCCAGCAGCACCCAGCACACGTCTGCAATGACCAAACCCTGTGTGATCTTTGGATTAAACAGAGAAAAGCCGCGTTAAGGATCGGCCAAAACCAGGCAGCGATGAAGCCGAGCGTGCACAGCTCTGAATTACCAAATTCGTCCTCCATGGCCATGATGATCTCCACTTGGTCCAAGCTGTCCAAACCCAGGTCCTTCATGAAGTGGGACTCGGCCGTGAGCTGCGGGAAGGAAACGAGAGGATCAGCCCGAAGCCGCTATTCCGGTGCGACAGACCCCGGGGCGGGACCTCCCGGTTCAGCCCACCGCGCTCCACCTCCCCCGGGCCCACTCGCCTTCTCCGGGTCGATCTTGTCGTACAGCTTGAGGACGTAGAGGACGCGGTCCTTGATGTCGGCCAAGGTCAGGGGC